TCACCACATACAACAATTCTTTCGTTTCCCCTAGCCAAATCTAGAACTTCTCTTACATTCTCCCAAAACTCCTCCAGCTCAGCCCTGGACGACGAAGCTACCGGCGCATAAACAGCCAAAAGGAATAACTTCGTCAGTCCCAATTTAAAGCGAACCCAGAGAAGTCTTGAGTTCACAACCTTATATTCAGTCATAACATCGACCAACCGAGAAGACAGCAGCACCCCCAACCTAAAGTTAAACTGCATGCCAAATAATTGCTCCTTAAATGCTTCAGCATATTACGTAATTGCACCACGTCTATTGCTATTAGTTAATTTAAAAAATAATAATAATCGAAAATTTAATTTTGCTATAAAACATAAAATATCTACTTTTTTAAAGTTAAACTTTATGAAAATTAATTGCTCCTTAAATGCTCTATTGAAATCCGTAACTGCTCCACGTCTATTGCTGTTAGTTATGCACGGGCTGCAGCACGTACATTTTTGTAGCGTCAGCAGTTTTCGCTACAATAATGCATTTTCAGTCAGTGCGCTAATTGAGCCCATCAATACCGGTCACGCGTCCTCGCAGTATCATTTCCCATCTATCATTAAATTAGATTTAGTTGGTTCTATCAATAAACTATCAATTATCAACTTCCCGGTATTGACTATCATTTACAATCAACTACTGTCAAACGAACAAACGTACGGGTCCCGTTGCAGCCCCTACGAGTTAGTTAATTAATTTGTAATTGTTTTTGAGAAAGAGTGATCCCATTTGAGTAATAGCGCCATTTTCAACAGAATGTTGTAAACTTTCCATTCTACAGGTAAAGTCATTTAATCGAACAAAAATTGATTGATGCTCAAGGTGGTACGTAGAGGTGGTAGGTAGTCCAATCTAAAATAAAAAGGAAGCCGTAAAATATTAATAGTAATGCAATTAATAAATTCGTATTCTAATGATATTGTAGCAGGTTTTCATTGCCTGAAAACACGGATAAAACGATATTTTCTAAAAGTGAATCCTAGTGTTTAGGTCAAAAATGGTCATTTTGAGACGACATCCAATCACGTTCGACTTAGCAAATCGCCCGATGGTACCAGGTGTCACGCGTGTCGCGGGGAGGAGGCAGTGGAAGGCAGCTTCCCGGCGTTTGGCGCTGGCGGGCGAGAGACAGTAGATCGCGGGCAGCGGTGCAGTTAATTAGCGTATCTCGGTGGCCGCTGCAGTAGTTTGGCGCGACCAGTTGTGGGTTATGGTGTAGAATTTTAGAATTTGTGCGCGTTACTTCACTACGTAATTGTGGTTTCGTGAAAACCGCCTCGGTTTAGTTTGTATAGGTTTTAAGTTCGTGACAAGAGGCTTGTATTGTATTTGACTGATTAAAGTAATTTCGTATGAAAGTTAATTGTTTTGGAAATCATTGTTTAATTATACCGTCGCGTTAAGAGCCTTTTGTGTGTTGACTCAGTAGCTAGTTTACGTGTCAGATAAGTTAATTTTGAATTCTAATTGCGGCGGAGTCTTTAATATCCAACGAAGGAACTTAGTTGTGTTTGTAACGCTGAAACGTGTGACACATGAAGAGATCGCGTTAGTTTCGTATTTGTAATTTGGTGATAAATTAATCCGGGACATTGAATGTTGAACTTTGAACTGCTGTTCGTTATTTGTGTCGGGTATCACGTGTTCGATTCTATGATGAACGTTGAATTAGTCGAGTTGAAGTTAGTTAAATGTACAATACAGTGGATAGACTGAAATAGTGACATGAAGAAAGAAATGGCCCATTGGGGACGCCTGCTGGAGTAATGCAGCATTGTGGGGCAGCACGGAAACCGGCCGCTGCCAGGTCACCTCGGCTGGGCCAGGTCACCTACATATACACACCACTAAACACCACTTTACATGCATCTACTCTACCTACGGCCTGACCGAGCCTTGTGGCGGTCTTAGATAGGGATCCAGGTACGTACTGTTCATTTTCCTAGCCTTCTCCCTATTGTGTAGTATGATAGGTCAATTTTTCATAAGGCCACTTGGGCCCGTACCCTCGGCTGCATTGGCCCTAGTCAAGGCGACCTTTCCCGGGGCAGCTGTGGGCCGTAACATTTTTGGTAACAGAGCGTGGTTAAGATTGATTTAATTTTGTGTCTACAATTACGCCCGGCCGTAATACGTAATAATAAAATTATTTTCCTTTGTTGCTTGCTTCTTTTGTTTGTTAGCGGGTACAATTAAAAGCCGCGCCGTTAGGCTGCGCAAGCGGGAGTTTGTTAGGGCTAGTACGTGCTAGGTACGCGTCGGGTAGGTAGATGGTTATTATCGTGTAATCGGATAATTATCATTGTCGTATAATTATAGTAGATTAATTGTCGAAGGGTCGGTTGTCTGAGCGAGGCATTTTTGCTGATCGACTGTGGTGTGTACCTTTATTTGTATTATAATTCGTATTTAATTTAATAAATAGTAATTGTATTTGTGCAATTTGTATTTGACTTGATTTGATAGGAACTGTATTTTTATTGGTAATTAATTTGCATTTGAGCTGCGTAGTAATTTGTATTTAGAAGTGATGCCGTCGCGCTGCCAGGGCAATCACTATGCCGTTTTGTGTCTGTGCGAACGGCGTTTCCTCCAGGGGCGGGGGGTCGTCTCCCCCCCCCCTCAGTATGTTGAGAGGGACATCACTGCCACTCAGCGGTCAGCTAGACCCTTCTCACCCCCGTCAGCTAAGTGGCCGCGGCTGGAGGTACCACCGTCCCCCCTTTAATGCAGGCAGCCCCAGCTAGGTAGCTGCCGCTCTAGCTCCCACCACGGCCGCCTACACTCATTCTTGGAGCCGTCAACAGCTCACTTGTCAAACTGTTCTATTGCCGACGGCCTCAATGAGGGTGTACAACCCGAGCGTCGATTGTTTAACGGCACGCGCTTTATTGGATTCGGGTTCACAACACGGTGTGGCCTCCGCTTGGTTGTTGGGAAGACTAGGGCTCCCCGGGAGCGTTGAATCGCGCTGTCAGGAACAATTAGATTTAGTTTTCGTCGAGCACTTAATTAATAATGCTTTAAATTAAAAATAAAAATGCTTTGGGTTTTCCGCGAAATGTTTCATAATTGTGGCGGTTGTGATTAAGAGGGCGAATTTAGTGTGCTCTTTGAATACTTGTACATATGTTTTTGTAATTGTATTTGATCATTGTGTTTGTTTGTTGAAAGGAAAATTGAAATTGAATAACCCTATTTGTGCCAAAGGGAATGAGAGTCATTCCATTCTTTGTTTTCACATTTTTGTTGGCACTGCCGAGGATATTTATTTGGAAAGAGAAATAGGGCTGTCTCTTACGTTTATCGTTTTATTTAATTTGTCAGTTTGATCTATGCGCTTCGGTAAATTAATTTGTTTGAATTAATTCCGTAGTTGAACATTGATGCTTTTGAGATTTGGTTGAAGTATGAGCGTAGGACTGCATGTCTAAAAGGGCTAGCTAGTTGTGAGATTATCAGATTGAAATCAGCTGCCGCACAATTGAGTAAATGATTATATGGTGGATGGCTTGGTTATGCCTGCTTGCTTGAAATTCATACTAAGGACTATCTGTGCATTTCGTTTGGCTCTCCACAGACGCCGTTCAACCGGCCGCTGCCAGGTCACCTACATATACACACCATTAAACACCACTTTACATGCATCTACTCTACCTACGGCCTGACCGAGCCTTGGGGCGGTCTTAGATTCGGATCCAGGTACGTACTGTTCATTTTTCTAGCCTTCTCCCTATTGTGTAGTATGATAGGTCATTTTTCCATAAGGCCACTTGTGCCCGTACTCTCGGCTGCCCGTCGAGGAGGCTACTATGGGCCCTAGCCAAGGCGACCTATGCAGGGGCAGCTGTGGGCCGTAACACCTAGGTAGTTCGATTTATCGCCCCGAAAACCCCTTCATATAAAATTTCATAAACATCTTTGGAGCCGTTTTCGAGATTCCGATTATATATACTTAGTCGGGTCATAAGTTCTGCCAAAACCTTATTATATAAAATTTTTGAATACTGGCTTGATGAACTTGCCGAAAATAAAAAAAAATATTAATTTTCATTTATTTTAAATTTGGAGTGGTCGAAGAAAGAAGATAGAGTTGCGGTTATCGCGTTGCACCGCTGTGGTTACGCCCCATAAGAGATTTTCAATATTCTACAAAAATTGAAAATAACCCTACGATTTGTTTATCGCACTATCAAACGATTCACTGAAGATTCAAGCATCGAAGATCGTAAGAGGACCGACCGTTGTTGCCGAACTCCGTTGTCGCTAAGCGACCCAATAATGTCTTATCGCATATTTCAGCGTTTAACTTATAGAAAAGGATAAAATAGGTTTTTCACCCTTAAATAAATTAAGAATCGTGTCAATCGTAGGCATTTCCGGTAGCCAAAATTCAATTATAACCTCAGGCACCACTGACATATCTCTAGATTATTTACCTTAATATCGTTTCTGTGTCGCCTCCCTTAACATTACGTCGCCTCAGTGCTTGTTAGGCTAACAGACCATTTGAGTAATTTTACAGGAGCAATGTTTTTTTGTTTTTCTATGTTATGACTCAAATAAAGCCGTAATGTTCGGTAGTTTCTAAAACTATGGCACATCTGGGCTTCTAATAATCCGTAAAAATAAAAAACTTTTGGCCTTAACATTGTGTAAAACCGGTTTCAAAATGGATATTGGACAAAAAACGAAGCTATAATTACGGTAATGGATATACACTACATTTCTTGGGATGTTAGCCAAATAGCAACCAAAAGTATTTTGTGCTTGTTTGCCCTATAGCCTCGCTTTACGATACAGGGTGTGAAATTAAATAAATCTACTGCGAATCATTATTGTATATTATATAAAATTAATTAAAAATTTTATGAATCTCTTGACTACGGATCTTATCTAACAGGCTTGAATTACAATTAAATGTTGAATTTTAGCTATACTACCTTTTCTTGTATATCCTTCTTTTACAGAGTTTCTACTTTTCCTGTTATTTCAGATTTTTTAGTAGTTCCTTTTTTTTCTATCTTACCTGCTTTTCCTTTATTTTCTTCTCTCCCTATCTTACCCACTCTTCCTGTATTTCGTAATTTACTTGTACTTCCACCTTTTCCTGTCTTTCCTGCTTTAACTGTATTTTCTGGCTTTCTTTCCTTTCTCTGTCTTTCCTGAGCGAGTGGCTTCTTCAAGGCTTTTAGTATTATAGTCTCCATATATGTTTTATCTTCGTCTGGCATATATTTGTATGAGCTACGTATGTCTTGAATTTTTTTTTGTGTCAATGTACTTGTTGGTGCCTTAACGGTTACATCACTTAAGATGTGAACCTTTTTTTTATTGATGTCCACGGACGTTGTGGGCCCTTGGAAACTGGTTTTGTATTGCAATATATTCCACTTTGATTTATTGTAAGTAATGGTCTTTACTTTCGAGAATGGTATTTGGTTAAATCCGTACTTGACAGCTTCTTCGTGGTAACAGTGGAAATCGTCATCGACCATCTGAAGGAACTTAAATGTTAGAGCCTTTGATTTAATTTTCAAAACTGCTCTCATTAATGACAGTGGGCTGAATATTTCCTGATGCCGAAGATTTCGTTCAATGAGACTGTGTACTGCATCGACCTCCTGCACATTTCCATACCCTGGCTCGGAAAATTTTTGGGTAATTTCGGTTACCTGTTTTGCTTCTGGTGACTGTAAAAAATTTATTATGGCAACACTCATATGTGAGTTTCTGTTCTGGGGCACGCATGAGTCGGACCATAAGATGAGCTTGGTAACTGTAATAGGTAAGCTATCCACTACGGATTTAAGAATTTTAACTAACGCACTTGCTAGGTCATCACCGCTCCTTCCGTTTTTGGTCTCGTCCCACATTGCGTTAGTTGCAGATTTGTTCAAATTGCAGTGGGCTGTCAAATTATACACTGTTAATTTACTCGTGTAATAAAAACAGGACATGTTGGCTTTTGGAAGAGAAAAAATGTATTCTAAATCAAATGTGACAACAGCTGTTGTCTCATTTATTTTCCTGTCCTTTTCTCTTTCTCTATTGCCCTCCTCTTTTCTTCTTATATGTTCGCAGTGTTTTATCGTTTGTTCAGCATTAGGAATTTTGATCGCCTTGAATTCAGAACACGCATCACAGGCGTCTTTTTTTGGGTGATGAAACGCTAAATTGAATTTTTCGTTAAACACCTTCCGGTAAATGTTTTCTTTCACTAGTTCTTTCGTCGACTCTACATAAAATGAATACATTTTGGCGATTGATAGACTTTTTTCGAGGTACTGTCGTTTTGTGTTAGCTCGACAAAAATGTGATTCTTGTGTGGGAAAGGACTTTATGTGCTGTATTACTTCTTCTATTTTGTTTTCGGCAGTCTGCTTTTTTATGTGTTTTCCTTCAGAGGGTGTGGGAATTAATTTCAATGGGTTGTTATGAAGTTTTTTGTAGAAATAATAAATTCTTTTTGCCGATATATCCAAAGTACCACAAAAAAACTTCTGGCACACCTTCACTTTTTGCTCATTTTTTAAAAAGAAGTACTGATATGAGAACTTTCTTCTGCTTTCTTCTGCTTCTGTTCTTTTCCTTTGTGAGCATACCCTACATGTAAATTCGTTGTAATATTTGTTTTTCTGGGCATCGTTTAATGAATAAAATGCCTTTTTCAAGTCCTCTCTTTCTTGTTCTGTAAACTTTGCTGAGCAGTTGTATGCGCACTTTTCGTCACATCCAGCGTGAACCTGTTTCGCTGGACATTTTTTTCCTTTAATATTAACATATTCTTCCCCAGCTTCTCTTTTTTTTTTCCTTGCAATTCTTTGCCAATTTTCAGGGCACCTTATTCTCTTTCTTGAGGTTTTTTGTTTTACGACATCTGAAGCGTCACTAGCATTACTATTAATCAATATGATAGAACTTTCTAGTTCTAGTTCTGAACTGCCAGGGCAAACAATGTATTTTTTTACTGACGTTATAGTGTGTTTTTCAGTGAATGTTTGTTCGCCTTCTTCTTGATAATTTGGAGCGTGTCCGTTGCCGTTTCTGCAACCAATGACAGTTTTTGCGCAATCCGCGGTAAGTATTTCGTTACCTTTTTCAACGGTTTCGGTCTCTTTACAGGCCATGAATAACTTTTTCTTAACTCTGTCAACCCTGAAAAATAAATTTTTAGTTTTTATTTGAAAATTATATTAAAATTTAGGTACCATTTTATCTTCACGCACAATCCCTGACGGGGTAGCCAGAGAGAACAGATCGCCAAGTGTCACGATCCTTACCATTTTAAGTTTCTTCAAACAGTTATATTTACCCTACTAATATTATAAATGTGAAAGTTTGTGGGGATAGAAAGGTGGATGTTTTTACTCTTTCACGCAAATACTACTTAACGGATTTGGATGAAATTTTGCACCAGGATGGCTTATATCTTCGGTAACACATAGGCTCTCGAACTCTCACTTTTTTGTCGAAAAGTCGACAGGAACTATGCGGGTGAAAGCGCAGGCCGCAACTATTACTTTATATTTTATTTACCTTATACTTTTTCGATTATCGACGTACGGTTCTTTGTTATTTTTAACCGACTTCTAAAAAGGCGGAGGCTATGTATTCGATGCGTATTTTTCGTTTACAAGTGAACTTAAAGTACCTTGGTTTCCTAGTGCAGGGGCCATATGTATTTCTATCTTGTTATTGTGATTTCTTTGTCAATTTTTTTTTGTATTTGTATTTCTTTTTTATTACTAGCTGTGCCCCACAGTTTTACCCGCGTAAGTACCGTCCCCAGATAACTGGAACAAAAAGTAGCCTATGTTCTTCTTCAGGGTCGCATCTATCTATGTATCAAATTTCATCAAAATTGGTTCAGCGGTTTAGGCGTGAAAGCTTAACAAACAAACTCACTTTCGTATTTATAATATTAGTTAGGAGACATTTATACACTCAGTTCAAAAAAATAAAAATGAATCTTGCATAATAAAATAAAATAATTTTTATCTATTATATGAACATGAACTGGCACCGCATAGTTACAATCTCGTATAATTTAAACGAAATTTAAAAAAAAAATAAATCAAACAAACTAGACCAAACAAAACCAAACCTACAAACCTCTAAGCCCCTACAAATCCCTAAAACCCCTTCCAACCTTGAATCTCTTAATAACGCCTTCAAGCGCGTACAAACCAAATAAATAAACTAAACAAACAAACGAACAGAACAAACAAAAAACGCGTACTTCCTGTTCCCATGAGAAAATTAAAAATTCCCACTCATAAAGGATATCCTAAATTATTAAGGATCGAATTAACTATCTTTAAGTGTAAATCCCGTCTAAATCAGTTCTGACTGTCCAGAAATTCGCTCGTATGAAAAAAAACGAACAAACTATTCAGCGCTGTGAGTATGACAATATGATAAAAGTATGGTTCTAAACCATCCTGTATAACAAACACAAAATAACCAAAAATAATACCACAATGATTAAAATCAACTTACATTTCGTAGTATGCAGTACTGCTGACATACCGTTTTTCAGAACTGGTCCAGGACATAATTTTCAAAGTTATTCGGACACTTTCCACCTCGTTTTATTTCTAAATTTACCGAAAAACTTGATAAATCTCGCAGTTCTAACACCGTTTCGCGTCGCAATAGATTATAGCTAAACAATATGGCGGAGCAGCGATGTGTGACGTCATGAGTGAGCGGGCCTGTGATTGGTTGATTTGGGGATATACGGCAAACAAGCTCGCAGGGAGAATTCCACTATTGGAATGTTGGTTAATTTGTGGTGGTAAGCTATACAAGCACGGAAATTAAAATTGTAACTGTGGATATTGATTTTTAACATCGTCTTTTACTCGTTTATTGGTATAGTTACGCGAGTCATTCTCGATTTAGACTGTGTGGAAATTGATTCTTAAGCACATTACATTCAAAGGTCATTTTCGTCTAAATTGGTCTGTTGGCCAAACAAGCACTGAGGCGACGATTAAAGCACACGGTATACTAGGTAACGATTTTATGATAAAGAATAATTGCAACATTTACGTTCAATCCAAAACTGAGAATACGTGAAAGATCCTACAAATTACGTTATTTGAACGAAACTCTTCAAAATATAATCGACTCTAATAACCAATTATTTTTAGCAGCTCAGAAAGTGTAATTATGTGTAGAACAAGTAATATAAATCCCGCGACAGCAATAGTCGAAAACAAATAATATATAACGGTATTGTTATTCCCAATGCATTAGTCGAAGTCAAAAACTACTTATTTATTATGACTTGTATAAATACAAACAAATGCGACAAAGTAATTAGCATTCCAAACATCGAAGGTCTCCCTTACCAACCAAATCAACAAACAAACAACATTCATAACCACTTAACTAACAATCTTAATCACACATCCGACTGCGATAGACAAAACCAAGTACTCACCCTTATTAGACGCGACCATTTAAACAAACAAAGAGTCGAACTCATTAGAAAAAATTGTTTCCAAATATCCCGACATATTTTTCATAGAAGGCGACTCACTTACATTTAGCAATCATACAAAACATCAGTAGATGTGAATTGGGGCTTCTGCGTCACTTGCTCTCGCTTCGCTCGAGCTATATGCCGCTGAAGGCCCCAATTCTCTCCATTAGAGGTCTAAATTTTTAGTCTAATTCTCGATCCGCTTTTTTTTATCTTTGCTCCATTTCTAACTTTACTGTTTTATTCGGAATCTCAAATACAAATGGTTCAATAATATAACAACAAAATATGAAGGCTAATCTATTTCATCTTTAAAAATGCAAGGTGGTACAAAAAAACAGTTACTTTATAAAAGTACTAATTGTTAACGGTCTGAAACTACTTTATTTTCTTCTCGAACACAAAGGTAGTTTAAATTAAAAGATGAAGTTTTTATTTACATATATTTTATTAGAAATCAAACAATTATTTTGTTTTCAAAACACCATTTCTTAATACATAAAACATTTTTTAACGCACGTATTTTCTTATGAGTAAAACAGTTATATAGTAAAGTATCTTTACAATAAAGTTCACAAAGAGTACTTAAATTGGGAGCTCCTAACCAACTTATATCTATGATAGTATTATTTTCATCACAAATATCTTGCACCCATTTGATTTTTTCACATCCTTTTAAAAAATTCTTTTTATCTTTCAAATGTGTCTTTATAATTCTGTGAAACTCTCTATAATCAACAAAGCTCTCACTCCATCGATACCTTCTGTGCTTTTCAATCCAGCCAATTTGTTTTTTCTCTTCAGGAGATAGTGAAGTGAATGGGTAAGGAGGTTTAATTAGGAATATATTGATGTACTCTAGAGTGGCTATAGCAAACTCCTTTACTATAAATTTATTTTTGGTATTTTTGAAGCCTTGAAGATCGCCGATTATTGTATTGCTATTCATGATATTTTCTTAACGATATTACTCAGTGGTTTGTATTCGAATATACAGTCGTTTAATATCAAGCAATAAGCGGTTGTCTGATCTGGTATATCTTGGTCTGTTTCGATTTCAACTCTCACATCGATCGAACCTTTTAAAGTTTCGTGTTGTCTTGAACAATCAATTACAAATAATGGAGCCACGTCTCTGAACTCCTTTAAACCCATCATCAACGGCTCTGACCGGCGTCCATGATACGACTGCTGAAATCTCGCATACTGATCGTATAATAAAGTAAATTTATCTTCTGAAAAACTGACATTCAGCCCTTCATAAGGATAATATGATGAATTTAAAAAGACTCTTACATCTCGTGCGTGACAATGATCAAACTCTGCCATTGATAATTTCGCGTTATGTTTGCGGTTGGTTTGCAAGGCGATGACCACAAATCGTGGTTTCTCTATTTGCAATGAAGTTTTTATAGACCAACTATGTTTACGTGTTTTGGGTAGCAATGGATATTCATATAAGTCTGATTCTATCACGATCTGATACTTTGATCTGTGGAACTCACCAAACTATTTTATTTATTATAATATCTTCTACAACTTCACCAGTATTTAACTTGATCGCATTAAGATTTGTATTGCTTCGTAATAATACTAACTCATGTTTACAATTAATTATAATTTTTTCATAATCTTCTGCAAATCCTAATATCTTGTTCAATGGTATAGACGCGGAAAACGCTCCACCACTAGTATTGCTTGTTCCGCCAGTTGACCAGCCCCAAACTCGAGCACATTTGGATTCATTTTCATTTAAGGATAGATAAGATTTTATTGTAGTAGTGACACCAGCATTCTTAATTTTATCTATTTCTACTCCATTAAGTTCATATCGTATGTCTTGAAAAAGAAATAGCACGGGATTATTGATAAAATGTACGTTTGATACCTTTTCTTTTGTGGTGCTGTTATAAACATTCACCTTTCCCTCGATATATAAACTACTGAGTGAAGTTAGTACGTACAGGTCTTGTTGATTAATAGGAATACGTATTTCGTCATTCTTGTTAAAACTAGTTACATATGGTTTGTATGAATGATACTCAAAACTTTCAATGCTGTTATCGTATGATGTTTGTTGAGATACGTTTAAAATATTCATTTTATTAAGCCTAAGACTTACCTAGCTTAAGAAATTCTTTGTTAGACTTCTTTGTAAGCTTCTTTTATAGCTGAAGAGGTATGCCTTTATGAGATGTTCTTTTAAAACTGGCTTGGATACACGAAGTAGACGGGCTTTTATTGAAATTTATCATATTTTTTTTTTCGGAAATGTAAATGCAGTTGTACGTCTTCACCTCTTAAATTTATCTCTTTATTCTCAGCGTTCAATAACTTTATATTGATACCACTTATGGAACTTTGGTTAAGAGGGAAAATAAATCAAGTTTCTGGGTATTTCAATTATTCGATAACCAGGTGGTACATTAGGTGCAAATTCAAAAATCATATGGCTTGCTTTCCCGTTGACAAATGAACCACTAACTACATCGCATTCAATTCGCACGATGATTGTCGATGGAATACTGACAGGATACTTTGATTCAGTACTTATATTTGCTTTTATTCTTTCCATACCAAAGCCTAAAATTTTACCCAGTGATTCGCTTCTAATAAAGTGCACATATTCAGAGCAAAAAATATTTGTTTTCAATGTATTATTGTTACAAGTTAGTTTTAGTACAGCGTTCTTAATATTATTTTTTAGATAATCATAAATATCTTGAAGTTCGTAAGACCCTTCAGGAATTCTAAAATTTATTGTTTCTTTCATCTATATTGGGAATAGAATTGAAAGTTGAAAAATACAAAAGACCACATTCGTAGTCTCCTCGTAGTTCTATTGTCGGTGAATAGTTCGTTGATAAAGAGGCTCCTGTCCCAGTTATAGACACAGTGAAAGACATTTTTATACTGATACGTTTATTTATTTCATACACTATATAAATTATTTTTCCAGTAATTCCTTAAAAATTTTAGACAAAGATGTCCACAGTCTGTAGTACCAAACGCTTGATGTCGCGCATTATTATAGTTAATAGGTAAGTTATGCATATATTTAACTAATTGTAACGGGGGCTTTAAATTACCAAAACTATCATAATATTCTACGTATTTATTGTGCTTTACAAAGGCTACCCAATGCGTTCCAGGATTTCTGTAGCTATCCAAATTCAGTATTCCACATTATATCTTTTTCGGTTTCAAAGGTAATTTATTTCTCATGAAAACGCCGCGAAAGTATGGAATGTCACTTGCATGTTCTAATATGACGAGGTTAGTGAGCGGCCGTCTGGGTAGCCGTTTAATTAGTTTTTTTGAGGGGTTAAGATATAAACCTGCTCCTTGTTTATGAGGTTTAATATATAATCCTTTTCCTAGAGCAACGGCTTCCATCATTCTGTTGTGTCTTTCAGATTCCTGAAGACTCTTTTGTGCTGCTTTTGAATCATTAACAGCCTTTGCTATATCCGCTGCTCCACCGGCTAATGATCCTAAAGCTGAAAATCCTTCAAATATAGGAATAAGTGGTAAAAATCCTCCACACTTTGGAAGAGGAATACAATGGGGTAAACTTATTCCTTTTTAATTACTAAATATTTTCTTTGCAGCTGCATAGGCATATTTTATAGCCGAGTGACTGTCTTTGGATTTTAGTTTTTTCAACTGAGACTATTTTTTTTATCCCCTTCTTAAATGCTTTTATACCGCTCCTCGCCCAGATTTTCGCTTTCATCGCATTTTTGACTATTCATGAGGCAATTTTTTCTCCTTTCCTAGCTTCTTCAGATTTCAACCTCCTCTTAGCCATTTTCAAAAGTTATAAATCCGCTTTTTGTCGAGCGGCCGAATCTTTGTTAGTGTAAGCAATATCATGGGGCATGCACGCTTCATCCAATTTGTTTATCCCACGATCGCCTTTCGTTTTTGAAGTTTAGTTCCGGGGCCGCAAAATTGATAGCCGCGTAAATGTAACTCAAACGGTAAATTGTCTATTACTTTATTAATTATACCACTGCTTTCCTTTATCGATAAGTATAAAATGAGATTATTAAGTAATAATACATTATTTATATACCTAAACTACTAATTCACTTTTATCCACCCAACTATTTTCTTCATCACTCAAACGTAACCATTTTACTATAAGCTTATTTCCTTTTCTTTTAATGACTTTTTTAATAAGATAAAGGTCTGGAAATTTAGTTTTTTATAATTCGTAACCGTAAAAAGAGCCTAGAATTTTTTGATTGTGTTTGTCTTCTATATGATAGGTTTGAGCATTGGTTTGGTTGATTTTAACGATACGAAATATTTATGTAGTACCAATTAGGGGTATAACTTTTGTATTTGCTTATACGAACGTAATCGCCAGCGTGAAACGCCGGTCCTTGACGTATCTTAGGCTTTTGAGACTTCTTGATGTTTGACATAACTAAAATCGCAGTACGATTGATTACTGGCATCATTATGCTAACATATTTTTGTTATAAATGTTATAAACGCTTGCCATGGAATAACATGCCTACAAATCCACATGGTAACTGTAACTAACTGTATAGTACTGACAGCTTTGGTGCACCCGATCCCTAAAAAGGCGACCGCTGAGATCCGTCCAACTACAGGCCTATCGCTATCACCTCCTTGTTCTCCAAAGTAATGGAAACCATTATTAACAGCCAGCGCATGCGGTACCTTGAGGATTACCAGCTGTTTAGTGACCGCCAGAATGGTTTCCGTCGAGGTCGCTCAGCTGGTGATCTTCTATGTTATCTAACTCATAGATGGGCGGAGGCAGTGGAGTTCAAGGGGGAGGCGTTGGCCGTTAGTTTGAACACAGCGAAGGCTTTCGATTGGGTTTGGCACAAAGCGCTTCTTTCGAAGCTGCCTTCCTATGGGCTTCCCGAGAATTTGTGCAATTGGATCACCAGTTTTCTTGCCGATCGGAGCATTAAGGTCGTAGTAGACGGTGCATGCTCCGATTACAAGCCCATTAACGCTGGTGTTCCACAAGGCTGCGTGCTATCACCAACTCTGTTTCTTCTGCATATCAATGATATGTTGCAAACCAGTAACATTCATTGCTATGCAGTCGACAGCACTGGTGATGCTTTATACACCGGCCGTGCCAATATTTCTCGGGAAAACGTCACCGAGTACCGGAACAAATTTGTGTCTGAAGTCGAGACTTTGTTGAACAAAGTCTTAGACTGGGGGTGACTAAATCTAGTCCAGTTCAATCCCCAGAAGGCACAAGTATGCGCGTTTACCGGTAAAAAGAACCCCTTTGTCGTATCTCCTCAGTTTCAAGGCACTTCCCTTGTTGCCTCAGCTAGTATCGGAATCCTCGGTGTCGAGATATCGAGTGACGTGCAGTTTTGTGGTCACTTGGATGGGTAGGCAAAATTGGCCTCTAAAAAGCTTGGCGTGCTCAGCAGAGCGGGACAGTATTTCATGCCAGCACACCGCTTGCAACTTTATAACGCGCAGGTTCGGCCTCACATGGAATACTGTTCCCATCTCTGGGAAGGGGCTCCCCAGTGCCAGCTCCTTCCACTTGACCGCATCCAGCGCAGAGCGGTTCGAATCGTCGACGACCGAGTTCTTTCCGATCGGCTTGACTCACTGGCACTGCGTAGAATTGTTGCATCTCTTTGCGTATTTTATCGCATGAATCACAGGGAGTGCTCTGAGGAATTATTCGGACTAATTCTAGCCGCTCAATTTCACCATCGCACATCGCACATCGCGACAAAACTCGCGATACCATCCATATCATCTGGATGATTGGTGGTCCACCACTGTGCGATTTAGAAGAAGTTTTCTCCCTCGCACAACTTCCTTGTGGAATCGATTATCACCAGCGATTTTTCCGGACCGATACGACTTAGGGACCTTCAAGAAAAGAGCCTACTCCTTTTTAAAAGGCCGGCAACGCATCCGCGATTCCCCTGCTTCCCCTGGTGTTGCAGTTGTTCATGGGCGGCGGTAGTCACTTACCATCAGGTGAGCCGCATGCTCGTTTGCCCCTTCTCCTATAAAAAATACAAATTTTGATAATTGCTTTGACCGTTCTCGTCCCCGAAAACACGTGGAGATTCCCATATAATCACTAAATACCACTGCTACAACAACCTGTATATCAGAAGACGAAAACAAAGCTGCTGACTACACTCAAAAATCGAGCAAAACCGCTCAATCTTTGTTCTAAGATGGGAGATGTTATGTCATAGATACTATTTACTTTATATTATGTTATATGTATATACTTTATATTGTTTATTTACTTAAAAGCTAAATTTCTTTCTTAGAAGCCAAACTAATTCGATTGTAATATTATATGCTAATGTTTATAGTTTACTATTCCTAATTGTATCTTAGAATAAGTTAACGATAACATTAAGAACAATGTTGTTACCTTATCTTTACCCCACCTCCTAGCTTCCTACACTATTTAAACCAAATCTTTTGATCACTCAATATAATTCCAACCCAAGTTCTCTGTATCAACAACTATATTTTAAGTTAGTTTAAAAGTATTAAATAAATTTATTTCTAAAAGAGTTTTTGTCTCTGCCACATAACAATTCGTTCCCAGTCAACCCCGGGTGAAATTAAATATAATATTTCAAAGTAGATTCTCGTGAAGTATAGAGTTAAATTTATATCGGTTAAGCTACGATCCAGTCTGTTATATTAAATATTATTCGTTGATACTAAGTGATTTGGGAGTGAGTTTCAAAAATTTCTGATTAATAATTTAATTTTAATATCTTCGGCAAGAGGTAGTGTGAATTTTAGTTATTATTGTTGTTTTCATTCAAATTTATATTCTTTACGATAATAGATGTGGATGTCGTTGGGCAACGGCACCTAATTACCACCAGGTGGACTACGTGCTTGTTTGCCACCCATATTCTATAATAAATATATACTGTTTTACCTCCAGAACTGCTCTTTATTGTGGTCAGAATATTTTAATTGATTTTTTGAAGTTTATTGTATTCCTTATTCGAATTTTATATAAATGATTCTAAATGAGGTAACAGATTTGTTAACGCCTCTACGAAGTTAGGTAAATAATCGTATTATTATGTTATGGATAAAAATTTATTGTAATGCTTATTGTGGAAAACGCAAGTCGGTATCACGCAAGTTCTCCTCTATCCACCGGTCTGCCTGTTCCGTCATCTCTTCATCAAAATAGTCTCGCCAACCGCCAACTTTACCTGAAATAATATTATGAAAAGCCAAGTTGTTTTTATAGAGTATAATTAAATTTTTTTACAATTAATTAGTAAAAATCAACTTTAAAGAACTTAAAAAAATACTACATAATAGCTTCTAAAGTCGGGGCTAAGAAAGTTTGTCAGAAAATTCAAGCCCCAACTAAGGAACATCGTCAACTTAATGTTATAACTATTTATCCGTCCATTACAGCCTATAAGACAATGCTGCACATAGATTGCCACGCTAGGCAAGCTGATTGACAACCGTATTTTGTAGTTTTTAGTTCATAACAGGAAGATGCTGTTGCCCACCTTCAGTTTTAGTTTCCCTCTGTTGGCTGTTAGCACACATAAGGGATGATATGGAGTAGTGGTAGTGAAATTTCGTACACTGCAACTACACATTCATCTCGTTTATTTAAAATTTGTGTCAAAATTTTTCACTGTCAAAAGCTACGTATATTTAACTTATTTTATTTTGTTATTTAGAGGCCAATTGTGGCTTACGAATTTCAACAAAAAGATCAGTAAATATATAAGAGAGTTGTTATAATAATTATTTTTTGATTTCAGACATAGTACTCATTTATAAAGGAAAATATTTCTGCTGTGTCGTTGTCAACTGTCAAAGCATAACGACTACATACAGTTTTTGTCAATATGGAACAAATCCAGGGAAGTTATGTGATAATATTTCATTTATAGAGTAAAGTGCTTTTATTTAGGCCGTAAATGATTGTGTTTCAGGGAAAGATGCGGGGTATAGCACATTTCAAGTTAATATGAAGCTATGTGATGTAAAGACTTTTGAGTGCTGTAGAGATCTGTTTAGATTTTTTAATGAATATCGCTGCTCCACTACATTCACAGACGGGTTTCCTGCAGTGTAAAAATTGTGCCGACGGTAGGCTGTTTAAAGGTAAAAGGGGATTAAATATACATATCAAACGATGCCATAGTAAAAATATTTCGGCTTCACAGCCTACCGTAGAAATTCATAACTCTATTAGCAATTCCTCTAATGACACAAATTTTTCCCTTTTTACGGAGCAAATTTACAATTATCATCGTAATGTACCAGTGGTTAAAAGAATTCCTAGAGGTGCGAGGATGCAGCTTGCTAAAGCATTGTCATGCACTATTCAAAACTGTTTCACTAATAGTGAAAATATGTGTTGCGTGTTCCCATTTTGAGTTTGATAAAACAATAAATAAATCAATTATGTCTCAACTAAAAGAGACATCTTTTCAAAATTTAGATTACCCAATTAATACTCATTTATCTCGACCACGTCCTAAATTTGATTTAAATAAAGTAGTTAAGTCGAAAGTAATGGATAGCGACTTAAAAATTCATGTGTTGAAACTCTTGAAGAAGCATCCTTCGGTCAAATCTTCTCAGGGTTTACCGCCGCCGCACAAGACTTCTATGCAACGTTTACAAATTTCTGAAAAAGACACTTTAGAAGCAGTTATGTCATTTTCGAATAGCTCTGCTGGTGGCATGACGGAATTACGCCTCAACATCTTAAAGATCTTGTGAGCGCTTCTGCCGGTGATGCCAGCGGAGTACTTCTTAAAGACATTACAAAATTATGTAACTTTATGCTTCATCCAAATTTCATTGCATTCTTATATGGGGCAACATTTTGTGCCTTCAAAAAAAAGGATAACGGTATCCGTCCTATTGCCGTTGGTTCCACATTTCGACGCTTAACTTCAAAATTAGCTTGCAGGCACATAATCTCTAACCTTAAGACCAAATTTCAGCCTACTCAACTAGGATTTGGCACTAGAGGTGGATTTGAGGCGGCGGTACTTTCAGTGCTTACATTTTTAACAAACTCTGATACAGATGTTCTTGTGAAGGTTGACCTAAGGAATGCTTTTAACTCTATCGATAGGGTAACCTTGCTGAAAGAAGTAGCTAACAATACCCCCGAAATTTATCATTACGTTTGGCAATATTATAGGCAAAATACTAACTTGTTTTACGAAAACCATGTTATCGATTCTGCTGTCGGTGTTTAGCAGGGTGACCCACTAGGTCCAGCACTTTTCAGTTTGGGAATTCAACCCATTATTTCAAATTTGATATCCAAGCTGGACGTCTGGTACCTGGACGACGGTACACTGGGAGGTAGAGCAGATGACGTCCTCAGTGATCTTCCTCATATTTTTCGAAATTTTAAAAATATTGGTTTTGAACCAAATAGCAGTAAATGTGAAATATTTTTTTCCAATAATTTATCTACTTCTCATAGATACACTTTAATTCAAAATTTCAATCATATTTCTCCAGGAATAAAAACTTTCAGTACGGAATTACTATACCTGCTAGGTGCCCCGTTGTTTTTCGATATAATTAAACCTGTTTTAAAAAAATTTAAACAGTTTTTAAACCATGTTGATAAATTGTATAAATTAAATCGCCATCACCTCCTTGTTCTCAAAAATAATGTAATCCATTATAAACTGCCAGCTCATGAGGTACCTTGAGGATCGCCAGCTGATTAGTGACCGTCAGTACGGTTTTCGTCGGGGTCGATCAGATCTTCTAGTTTACTTAACTCATAGATGGGCGGAGGCAGTAGAGTCCAAGGGGGAGGCATTGGCCGTTAGTTTGGACATAGCGAAGGCCTTCGATCGCGTCTGGCACAAGGCGCTTCTTTCGAAGCTTCCTTCCTATGGGCTTCCCGAGAAATTGTGCAAATGGATCACCAGTTTCCTTGCTGATGGGAGCATCAAGGTCGTAGTAGACGGTGCATGCTCTGATTTCAAGCCTATCAAAGCTGGTGTTCCACAAGGCTGCGTGCTATCACCAACGCTGTTTCTCCTGCATATCAATGATATGTTGCTAACTGGTAGCATTCATTGCTATGCAGACGACAGCATTGGGGATGCCTTATATACCGGCCGTGCCAATATTTCTCGGGAAAACGTCGCCGAGTACCGGGACAAACTTGTGTCTGAAGTCGAGTCTTTGCTTAACAAAGTCTCGGATTGGGGCCGACTAAATCTAGTCCAGTTCAATCCCCAGAAGACACAAGTTTGCGCGTTTACCGCTAGAAAAAACCCCTTTGTCGTATCTCCTCAGTTTCAAGGCACTCCCCTTGCTGCCTCAGCCAGTATCGGAAACCTTGGCGTCGACATATCGAATAGCGTGCAGTTTCGTGGTCACTTGGAAGGGAAGGCCAAATTAGCCTCTAAAAAGCTTGGCCTGCTCAGCAGAGCGAGACAGTATTTCATGCCGGCACATCGCTTGCAACTTTACAAAGCGCAAGTTCGGCCCCACATGGAATACTGTTCTCATCTCTGGGCCGGGGCACCCCAGTGCCAGCTCCATCCACTTGACCGCATCCAGCACAGAGCGATTCGAATCGTCGACGACCGAGTTCTTTCCGATCGGCTCGATACACTGGCACTGCGTAGAGATGTTGCATCTCTTTGCGTATTTTATCGCATCTATCACGGGGAGTGCTCTGAGGAATTGTTCGGACTAATTCCAGCCGCTCAATTTCACCATCGCACGTCGCGACAAAACTCGCGTTACCATCCATACCATCTGGATGATTGGCGGTCCACCACTGTGCGATTTAGAAGAAGTTTTCTCCCTCGCACAACTTCCTTGTGGAATCAATTACCACCAGCGAATTTTCCGGACCGATACAACTTAGGAACCTTCAAGAAAAGAGCTTACACCTTTCTAAAAGGCCGGCAACGCATCTGCAATTCCCCTGGTGTTGTGGTTGTTCATGGGCGGCGGTAGTCACTTACCATCAGGTGAGCCGCATGCTCGTTTGCTAGGGGGCTCTATAAAAAAAAATAAACCCCCACATAGCTCTTACTATTTTAAAATATTGTCTTCTTGTACCTAGATACTTACACTGCGCTAGTCCAGTCTGGAAATGTTCGGATATTTTAAAAGATATTGATAATAATCTTTAAATAGCTACAGAAAAAATTCTAAATTTAACTTTAAATACAACGGCCTGAACTCAAGATACTTTACCTATAAAATTTGGTGGTATTGGTGTGAGAAATCTTTCTAGAGTTGCATTGCCTGCTTTTCTTGCTTCCGTGCATAGTGTCAATAACTTATGTAACATAATTTTAATTTTGTTTTTAATTAATTTTTAAATTTAATTAAATTAGACCTGTGCTTTGCTACGGAGGCAGGGCAGATATGGCGAACGCTCTGTCCCGGTGAAAATGTTCCACTGGACGTTAACTAACAAAAACAGTGGGATATTCCGTTGGTACAGGGCGTGTAGAAAGATTTGTTTCATTATTTTTATAGTGACCAAGATAAGGCACACCTTCTAGCTGTTTCGACTAAGGAATCTAGTCACTGGTTACACGCTTTACCATCAAGTAATCTCGGCACATTATTTGATGGAGAAAGCTAGCGCATTGCCGTAGGAATCCGACTAGGAGCGGCGATTTGTCAACCCCATCAGTGCCCCTGTGGTAGTAGCGTCGACAAGTTTAGGCTCCACGGACTTTCATGTAAGAAAAGCGCTGGTAGGTTTTCACAACACAGTTCTTTGAACGATCTCATCCGAAGGGCTCTTGTATCTTTAAATGTTCCCTCGGTTTTAGAGCCTTGTGGAATATTTAGAGACTATGGCAGGAGACCCGATGGTATAACATTGGCCCCTTGGGAGAGAGGTAAAGCCCTAGTGTGGGATGCTACTTGCGTAGACACTCTAGCGGCCTCTCATCTCGGGGGTACCTCGTTTAGAGCCGGGGCGGCATCAGAGGCAGCTGAACTGAGTAAGTGGCGCAAATATCAGTCTCTGGTAAATAAAAAATGACTTTCAATAAGAATTATGTAATAATCAATATTGAATAAAAAATTATTCTATTCTATTCTATTATCTTCTATTCTATTCTATTCTGAGAGATGACTCCATTTTTGTGCCATTTGCTGTGAAGACTACCGGTCCGTGGGGTCCACGTACGGTGAGGTTCCTAAAGGAACTCCATCCGCGGCTGGCCGTAGCTGCTGGTGATAAGAGGGTTGGTTCTTTTCTCGCTCAAAGGCTAAGTATAGCCAATCAGCGGGGAAACACAGCCAGCGTTCTTGGCACGATACCGCGGGGAGTAGGACTATATGATAATTAAGTTTCTAGTTTTAGTTGTTTTTAAATATTATTTTAGTTTTTAGTATTGTATACCTATAATTTAAAAGTGGATATATTTCGTCAAATTCATATGGGAGCATCAAGGAGATCAAAATATATATAGTAAGTTCACAATTCGTCAGTCAAGTAAATTCACAATCAATCATTCGAATTACTTGCTACCCGCTGCGGGATCATATATTATACAAAGACTATAAAAGCAATTTTTTATTTTTAAAAGGTATTTGAGACAATGAGTTAGAAGGATGTGGGCGGCATTTTCAGCTCTAATGGCACCGGACAGTACACTATGCCACTACCCCAATTGCATGTTGGTGGACTTCAGACACTCACGATTTTTTTTGGCACTAACTAATAAGATATAGCGTTCCCATTATTAAAAAAATTACAATGCATTTTGATTCTTAATCGAGGATAGATGTAAATGTCTATGGTATGATGGCATTTACTTACCATCAGGTTTACTGTGTGCCCGTTTGTCACCCTTATTTAATTAAAAATACTGTAACCAAATAAAAACATACTACATCGACTCGTAATAGGCCTCAGGAATGGATTTCATCCATTTTAGGGAATATTTGTCGTAAAAATCACGAAATGTGGCCATTTTGGTCGCAGTACCAGATGTCGGGCAACTTTAACGTTATTCCAGTCACCGGTGTGGGTAATTAATATCTGGTAGTTGTTGGTATACCATCTTATCATCATCGCCAGAGGAAGCGAAGTCTAAAAGGCCAGACATTTTTAGATAGTCTCTTTTAGGGCACCAACGAGGCGAAATTAAGTAGCGAATGTTTCACTCGGTTTTTCACTTCATTACAATATAATATATTTATTTCAGGCATTAACAAAAATATTACATAGTTAAAAGTAACCAATAACATTCCGAGAATTTTTTTCTTTGGCGCGTTTCTGTATCGGCAATGCAGAAGAAAGTCAGAAATCAGGAGCGAGGAATGTCTGTTTATGTTACGCAGAAACCGTTGAAATTATATAGTAGGAGAATAAATGTTGCTATTTTATATTTAAGATTGTTGTATATACGTATAATTAATGTTTAAAAAATCCAAAGATAATTTTCATAAGCATAATAAACAGATTGATGATAAAAACAAACTTAAGTCCTTTACAATAAATATGCCATATAAAATTAGTTAAAATATTACTATATAAAGTATAAAAAATGCTTAACATCGTTTTAGGACGATATTGCTCACATTACATAATATTAACAAATACCTACTCTTTTCATGCATACCTAAAGTATTTTTATTACTTGTGTGACTGTGGGATTGATAAATTATATATCGTGGCAATTATGGCAAATACCCTCAACAATGGAGGAGACCCACATTCATCTGTGCAATAAAGCCGGTAAAGAAAGATCGAATACACACCTTTTCTAATAAAACTCTCCTTTTCATTCAATAATCCAGAATCGTTCAAATTATCGAAATTGACGGATTTGTTTTTCTTGAAGTTATCAATGTTAAGGTGCTCGCATAATTTTTCTATCTGTTCCTCAGTTATCTCTTCGTCAAGAAATTTGGCAATGCGACGTACGCATGCTCGCAGATCCTGAAATTAATTATTTTATATACTAAACTTTGTTATAGCTCAGCAATATTAGAACGGACTTCTGAAGAAGAAATCTGCGCACACAAATACAATCGTCTATCACTACAAAACTCACACTAAAAATTTAAAACAATAACCTAACAATTTCACATACACATGGATACATTAACGGATAACGGATTAGTAAACTTAAGTGGCAGTGGCCCAGCCATATAGCTCGAAGAACCGACAACCGATGGGGAAGAAAGGTTGTCGAGTGGCAGCCTCGTACCGGTAGGCGAAGTGTGGGGCGACCCCCCCCCCCCCCACTAGCTGGAGTGACGACCTGGTAATACGTACAGGAAGTCGATGGATGCAGGTGGCTCAGGACCGTGCTTTGTGGCATTCCATGGGGGAGGCCTATGTTCAGCAGTGGACTTATGAAAGGCTGTAATGATGATGATGATGATAGATACATTATAACAGTATCGCTCGGTGACAGCAACAACTCGGATACAGACTCAGATCAGTTGCTCGACCAATCTGCATATTGTATATGGGCGAGCGATCTGTTGGTAAACAGATCCGAAGTAACACTTTTCACAACACTATTTACAAATTGTTATTTATTATTTTATTTATAAATGTATTTTTTGTATAAAGAAGTAAATAGCAATAATTTGATTAAAAATTACTTGTATATTAAAGGTAACGCTATCTTTTTCGAAATTTGACGTGGCAGATCTCTTTTTGTAGCAAAACACTGAACAATTCAGCACTTTTGTAGGACGTCGATTCAGCCCCGCAACTTGATTTAAGTCAAGTGTGAACTACGGCTGCAACTAGTTTTAATGTACGGATAGGACCGCATGGCCTTATACTTTCACAGATAGGGACGCCTGTGTATGGCTACTCTCCTCCGATCCCCTGTTGGTCCGCGTTGTTCTTTGTCGGTGGTGTAAATATATAATCGTTGCTATGTAAACATCAAATGACATTGTTGATTCTCACTTTATCCATTTTACCATTAGCTACACATATCATAATATAATAGTTGTAGTTATTACCTCCAGTTGGATAGTATTGGAAGTAATAACTAAAATATAGATATCTTTCCAATATTTTCTGATGCTTTCACTTATGTGTATACTAATTGGTGAATTACCCGAATCCATATAACGTGACAAGATCACAATGCAAACTCTATTTTAATGTTAGAGAAGGGACGATAATTACAAATCAAGCCGCAACAACTCTATCTCGTGATTAAAATGTAAAAAAATGAATCTGATTGCTAATGAGATTTACCCAAATGGTAAGAAATAGATGCTGCAATCGAAAAATTATTTCAAGTGTTACATTTCAAACAGTTTACCTTAGAAAGGTCTTCGTAAAACAAAAAGAGCATGTTAGAATGGTTCCTCATTCGCCACGCTTCTTTAACGTGTTCAAAGAAGGGCGCCCAGGGAACTGTAATATATAAACCACATCAGTGACTTAAAACAGGGTAATGAAATCTCTTAATTTTTCAAAAAAAAAAAAGAATGAAACAGAGCCTTCAAATTGTACTATTTCATTTAAATATGTTACGTTTATAATAGTTTATCGTCTCACTCTCTTGCATCAAAATAAATATCATGTTCACTCGATTCTGAGCAAACTCACTTGACTCCTTTACACATTAAATGTTAGGATTTGTTTTAGGGTTAAGCCATCTGTGTTAAGTAGACAGCAATGATTTCGAACGAATAAGTCAGTATTTTGTTTGTTTGTTTGCTTTTTTGTATTTGATACCTTTACATACAATTCATTCGATTCCAAGAAACTTTCTTGAGGTTTAATATTTTATGACCAAAACGTTTGTTCGATTGCTTGTCTTCTATGACTTTCCATCCAATTAATACGATTATCATGCAACTTTGGTGAGATGTTTATCACGCCACCGCGAGGGTTTCACACTAAAATTGGTAAAATACAGGCATTGCTATTGTGTGTAGTAAAAAAATGCCTTCCATAGTGGACTTTATGAAGATGGGCGCTTCACGAATAATTATTTTAGTTATAAAAAGTATATCGAATAAGAAACTAAATCTACAGAACTATTTTATACTTACGCAAATCATTGATAAAGAGTTCCCAAAAAGCCTTGAAGTCCACGCCGTCTAGGAGTATATTCATAAATTTGCTATGATGATAAAATGACACAACTACGTCACGGGGGTCTCGAGCTACGTAAAAAACCTTACAAGTGTCCAACAGCTTGGGTGGTAGAAGAGATAATGGCAGATGTGATTTGATATATCTCGGAGAAGCCATATTCAGAATTTTTTGCACTGGTGGCATGTTTTTCTCCATCGTTTTTTTAATATTTTCACCGTTTAACATGGCTGACATTTGATTATGATTAAAAAACATCTCAGTCCTGTTGGATGTATAATAAAATTTTCATTAAATTAGTCCTTATAAAATGAAAAAGTTAGCGTAACAATATAAAACTTTTAATCAAGATATCTGTATATATTTAAACCGTAGGCTTAGAATTTTGTTTCCAGTGCAGGAATTTTAAGAAGCGTATCGCAACTTCGGTACTGCTTACCGCCGGTATAAACATGTCGTCTATCAAAGGCCGTCAGGATCGTTCTGACATCTCCCATACTCAGCTTTTACCACACCCATGCAACAAAATGAGGTGACAGATTTTATTACGCCTGTACCACGTTTACACACACACTGTTTTAGTGAACCTATATCTTTATGTTATTATTATTAATAATAATGTAAATTTTTTAGACTATTACAATTTACAGTAAAAAGCAAAAAAGTGTATGAAATAAAAAAGTATTATCTTTTGTAACAACACAGGTTTCGACCAAGGTATATTTTTAAAAACTTACTCTAAATAAGGATATCTAACGGAGAGCGGGGTTTCCGATGCCTTTTCATAATCAAAGTTGTTTAAAATAAGCCAAACCAGTTCTTGCGTCCATGTTGTACCTGTAATTGATGTTTATTAGAATTCGTACAAATGTTAACACAACGACACAAAGAAACTCAAAATTTTTAGGCAGTGTCTTCTATTAAAAATAAAAATAGTACCTATTATGTTTCTTCTTCATTAAAAATCATAAATACCTAGTCAGGTCATAAATTCTGTCACATGTTTAATATAAAATAATTGAAACAAGTTTATTCATTATGTAACCATTTATATACCAAAATGAACTTAACAAAACATAGATTCTTATGACACTAAACTTTATTCAAAATGACCTCCGTGATTTTGAATACAGGCCTTCAATCTGCGCGGCCAGTCGTTTATCGCAGCACGAACGAGGTCCATGTCAATATCGGCGGCTGCCTTAATCAGGGATGTCTTGAGTGACTGCAAATTGGGATGAGGCTTTGAGCACGCCTTTTCCTCCAAGTGTTGCCATATCTTGTAATCTAACGGATTCAAATCTGGACTGGAGGAGGGCCAGTCTTCGTGCCGGATGAAGTCGATTTCACGCGCCGCCGCCAATCTTGTGTGCTCTTCGCTCTATGAGCTGGCGCCGAATCTTTTTGGAATACCCAGTGCCTGTTATTGAACATGGTATAAGAAACAGGTTCCACAAGGTTCGTCAGGACTGTATTTTGATACACAACTGCATTCGTTTTTACACCTTTCTCACAAAAATGTACCTCTGTTAAGCCCCCAATAAGAAACTCCCAACCATACCATGAGCGAGGATGGAAAATGACCTTGTTGGACACGCGGAAAACGGTTGCTCGCTTCTTTACTACTGTGTGCGTACACCTTATCATTTTGTTTGTTGTAGCTCTCTTCAACGGTAAAATTTTTTTCATCCGAAAAAAGAATTTCCCGATATTTTTTTCCCGCGTACCGCTTCAACAAAGCGCGGCATCTCTTCAGTCTCAGGTCCATTAGACGAGCATTCAAATGATGTCCTGTTTTTCTTCGATATGCCCGAAGCCCTAAGTCTTCATTTAACACCCTTTTCACCGTGGTTCTGCTTAACCCCATCTGAAGGGCCAACAGTTTCTGCTTACGTTTGGGATTTCTTTGAATTCGCGCCTTCACAGCTTTTATCACTGCTGGAGTCCTAACAGACCGAGGGCGACCACTTCTTGACCTGTCATCTACACTAGAGTCTTCATTGTATCGTTTGATGGTACGATAAACGAATCTTTTGGTTATATTCAAATTTTTCAGTATGTCAAAAATTTGAATTGGCGCGTAACCGCAACGATGCAACGCAATAACTGCAACACGGTCTTCTTTAAGCGTCCACTCCATATTTAAAAATGAGTAAAATTTTAAAAAGTATACAGTTTTATTTTCATGAACAATTCGAAATTCGAATTCAATAAACTTTTTTGTGGCCAGAATTCTAAAAGAAAAGTTTTTACTGTGTGACAATACTTATGACCTGACTAGGTATATGAGTGCAAGTATGTAATAATTAACATATGATGTTAATGTATAAATTTCTTTGAATATTTTGAATTTTGTTATAAATCGTGGTAAAATCTCTCTGTTATAAAAAAATCAATTGCTGTCCATTAGACCAAATTCTCGAAATTAGTTTGACCGATTTTGATGATATTTATTGGGTGTATTTGAGTTTTTTGGATGGTCTAAAAACTCAATTGGACTCGGTAGGTAGCACTGTTGTCAAGATCTAGAAATCACTCGTGCAAAGTCGGGGCGGTTCACTACCTTAAAATAAAAATGGCGATATCATTTAATTTTTAATTGTATGTAACATTTTAGTTCGATTTTATTTTATTCCCTGTTTCATCTTATATATAATAATAAGTTAGTTTTTAGAATATACGATAATAGCGAAACTCATTAAACTCATAATTTAAATGATGCTATTTATTAAAAGTAAATCAATTTTCATTCTCATAACTTTGACTGGCGCTTAAATTTATTGATACATGACGCAGCGCCGCGTCATGTGTCAATAAATTTAATAATTAATTTGTTTATCGTTTAAGTTATGTCCTACAAGTAAAAACACGTATTATATATGTATTTTTCGAATCGAATAAAATACATGGCCATTGTATTAGTGTTAGTCTGATAGCATATTCATGAGAAAAAAAAAACGATTTCGGGCTAAAAATGGTTCAAGACAAAAAAAGAAGGAAATCGATCTAGCGATCGAATTATATAAATGATAAAATATTGCATAATCTAAAAATATTATTCAATCGTCTATTCTGATCTATACAAATAAATAAAATTGAAGTGTCTGTTTGTAATGTCTACTTTAACAGCTTTTACTAAATGCATACATTTATATTATATTCAATACTTATAGCAAAAACACAATTTTTAAAATTTTTGGCTGCCTGTCCATCTGTTTGTTTGTTCCTGATTATCTCTAAAATGGCTGGACCGATTTTGACAAGAATTTCATTGGCAGATAGATCATGTCATAAGGAATAACTAAAGCTTCTTTTATTTAAGACAAAAAATTAGAATAAGGTTAAAAATTAATAATCTAAACTCGGACAAAGTCGCGGGGAACAGCTATTTAACACATATAAATCATTGAAGTACATATTATAACACACACATAGCTTATTAAAGATCATAAAGTCCAACAATATTAATAATATACGTACCTGATCTAGGAAAAGTTACAACAAAGGTATCACTCGGTCTAATTTCCATGTTGTATATCTCTTTACCAAAGTGCTCAAACTCTCTAGGGAAGAGGTAACCTTTGGGCCCAAAACGCAATGTGCATGGATTCATTGTTACTGGTTCAAAAATAACGTAAAAGTTTGTCAAAAATTTGGATAATGCAACACTTATCTATCGTCTACATATTGTCATACAACTGATAAAATTGAGTAAGTAAGACGTCTGTGCTGCTATCACATATCCACTGAAAATTGTGGATATTGTTACAAGCCTAAAAGTCTATACGTGGTAGAGCCTTATAGTTATAGCACGATAGTTGTAGCAGTATAGTTGTAGCACGAATGGGCCGGGCTCAACCGGGGAAGGACCACCCTTTCACAGAATACCAGCGTAAAATAGCAGTTTATTGCTGCTGTGTTTCGTATGGTGAGTGTAGAGAACCGGATACCCTTTTTACTGCAAAAGAGACATTCTATTTTAGTCCTCACGGCTGACAACGTATCTGCATTTTAATTCGCAGATTGAGATAGATGTAGATGTCAATGGGCTACAGCAACCTCTTACCAGGAGGTAGACTGTGTGTTCGTTTGTTACCCTTATTCTATAAACAAGCTTGGTAGAGACATGCTACAGCGTATTATAGATGAAGCACGATCAGTTAGACCGGGAAAGCACCACGCTCCCACAGAATAAAAGCGTAAATGTTAAAAAAGTTATATTTACAGCATTTGTACGCCAATTGTAAGGCATAGGCCTCCTCTCATGTCTGAAAGGCCTATGAAATACAATTAGTCCAACGCGTTGCTGATGGCGAACCGCAGATGTGCTAAGAGCTACCAAGAGTCCTACTAGCGCTGGTTAGTAACGAGACCCGGTGAACTTTATTTTCACTGAAGACGGGCATTCCTTCTACGTCCTCAAGTGAATAATAATATGTCTGCATTTTGAATTTTTTATGTACATATTATATATATAATACATACATGGGTATTTATGAGCCACAGAAACGACTTACTGTCAGATGGACTGTGTGTTTGTTTGTCATTTTTATATCTTAATAAAAAAGGCTTATAAAAAGGGGAAAGGACTAGGCTCTCACAAAATACCAGCGTTAAATGGTAAGTGTACATACCGCTTCTTAAGAGCCTCTTTTACTCGAAAACGAGGCATTCAATCTTTGTCCTCAGGAATGACATCGCATCTGTATTTTGATTCTTAATCGAGGATAAATCAGGATAGAATCGAGGTAGGTAGGTGTCTAAGGCAACAGTACCCTATTACCATCAGGTGGTAAGTGTGCATGTTTGTCACAAAAATTGCAGTCTTTAACCGTTAACGATGCCGTTACAGCGTGGGTGTGGTTACAGTGGGGACATTTGCCATGGTTAGCACGCTTCGCAAGCGGGTTGACAGCTGCAGTTTTTTATTTTAAGTAAATAAGCAAAACCTTTTTTTAGCACTAAGAGTCACTGCAGTGTGGCTTCACAATATATAAGTGCATAGATTAGCTTGCATTCTGAATTTCTAAGTAAAGTAAAAAAAAAAGTGAAGTTGCAGCCTATATACGTCCCACTGCTGGGCACAGGCCTTCTCTCATTTTTAAGTAATGAAAAATAAAAAATAAAAAGTGTATGATAGGATTTTTTTTTAGATATAATGGTGGAAAGGCTTGATGAAACAGTTATGAGTATTATTGAGAGATTTGACTGACATCAGAGTAATTTCGTCTGTGGTAAAATTTCACTTACCTTGGAAAGATTTTTTCAATTTTTCAACTTGTTCAGGTTCGACATCTCGAATTTCGAAAGGAAAGCTCTTGTTGGTTGTAGCCATTATTATTATTATTCGTATCTATAAAAACAGTAAAAAAAATTCTAAGTATGTTGAGAAAACAAAAAATGTTTTTATTAATTATTAATTTGCGTAAACGAAACACTCAATCGTATCACTATAAAACTAATGGTGACAAATAAAATTAGTTTGCTTTATAAAGGCATGTTAGATTATACATAATATATTGATAGTGCATTTTGTCAGATAAAGGGATAATTGTTTTTAATTTTGATTATAGCACAACAACATACAACTACAGCATCTAGAAGAAACTGTATAAATTTTCCTAGAAATAAGTGTATTCAAGGAACAATTATTATTACTTATTGTTATAAAAGTTAAATTTTTTATGATTAATATGAGACCATTGCGACTCCTGATGTAATCTATCCAACACCAGCACAGCTAGCATGGGCTGGAGACAAAAAAATTATCCCCCGATCATATCCACTGACAAAAGATAAAATTTTCTTGTCCTTATGCCAAAGCACAGCAACGGGGAGAAGTATATCCCCGTTCGACATAACCAGTAGACATATATCCCCCGTCCGTAGCATGGAGCCAAATGAAAGATAAAAAAATATCCTTTTTTGACATTTGAAAGGGACAATTTTATCCTAGTTCATTGGACGTGGGTTTAAGTTTATATTCATACAAAAAATCTATCTAAGTCTAAGTCTATCTCCCATTTTATCTACTGTTGATATTATATCCACCGGTGTGCCCATGCTCGAAGGGTGGATAAAATTAAGCGAAGGGATAAACATTTTCTCCTGTCCCGGGGGATAAAATTGTCTCCTGCCCATGCTAGCCCTGCAGAGAGGAGTACGAAAGGGTGACATAATGTCCCCGAAACTCTTCACCGCTGCATTGGAAGCAGTTTTTAACATCAATGGCGAGCACAACACTCATCTTTAATTTGCCGACGATGTAAGTCAGGCGGGGAAGGGCGTCATATTTTTTGCATAGATGATTTCAATGCAAAATATTTTTTTTAATGCTGACTTATGAGTGAACATTTATTAAACTATTAATATTTGGAATTTTGTAGCTGCAAGAAACGTCGATTTAATTATATCTATCTATATTTTTACGATATTTTCTATTAAATTGGAAAACATGAAACGGGGCAAGTGCGCCTATATAAAAAATACACTAAAACGTTAATAGAAAAACAGATAATTTACTTAATAGAACATAAACAAATAAACGCATTACTCATGGCTTCTTTTTAATTTACTCATCCTATAGGCTACTGCAGCTTCCATAACAAATTTGGGGCAAGTGCGCCATAGAATAGTAATCAGGAGCTCTAAACCTTTAATGCTGTTTTTTTTACAAAAAGTAAAAACTGCTGTATTGAAATAAAAATGTCTGCAGGTTTGACTGGAATAAAAGAGATATTTAATTAATCAAATTAGACTTTTATTTTATGCATTACGTCTATTAATATGATATAAATGACAAGCTCTTATAAATTGTCCATGCGGTCGGAGCTAAGTTCTGCAAGACCCGCCGCAGAAGGACACAAAAATTCTCCGATCATACACTTAATCTCATGTCTGTTAGACGGGAGATGAAGCAAAATTCTTCAACAGATTTGACAGTATACAGGCAACTGAACAGACAAATCTCCAAATGCATGCGGCGGGACTTGCGCAACTTCAATACTGTCAAAGCTGAAGACCGAGTGTGGCAGCATAGTTTCCGGGACACCTGATATTTTGAGTGAGATTGAGAGGTTCTATGGGCAGCTGTACATGTCATCGTTGGAGCCACACGAAAGTGTGAGTAACGATCCAAGAGCGAGTCTTATCCGACACTGTTCCGAAGACTTCCCGGACGTCAGTCTGAGCGAGATTAGAATGGCTCTCCAGCATCTTAAAAACGGTAAGTACCCGGGCGAGGATGGAATTACAGCGGAGCTTTTGAAAGCGGGTGGAAGACCGGTACTTGAAATCCTTCAGAAGCTCTTTAATTCCGTCCTCTATGGTGGCTTTACACCAGAGGCGTAGAGCAGAAGTGCGGAGGTCTTGTTCTTCAAGAAAGGTTACAACGCTCTCTTGAAGAACTACAGACCAATTTCCCTTCTGAGCCGCGTCTACGTGCTGTTTTCGAGAGTCATTACGAATCTTCTCGCACGCAGACTTGACGACTTCCAGCCTCCCGAACAAGCCGGTTTCCGAAAAGGCTTTAGTACCATGGACCACATACATACCCTGCGGTAGATTGCACAGAAGACAGAGGGTACAATTTGCCACTATGCCTGGCGTATGTGGACTATGAGAAAGTCTTTGACTCCGTCGAAATTTGGGCGGTGCTGCAGTCCCTTCAGCGGTACCAAGTTGACTGTCGGTATATCGAAGTGCTGAAGTATTTGTACAGTAGAGCTACGATAGCTATCCGAGTACAGAATCAGAGTACGAAACCTATCCAAATACAGAGAGGTGTAAGACAGGGTGACATCATATCCCCGAAACTCTTCACCGCTGCTTTGGAAGACGTTTTCAAGCTACTGGACTGGAAAGGAAACGGTATTAACATCAATGGCGAGTACATCACTCACCTTCGATTTGCGACTGCTGTAGTTAAATAAAAATGTCTGCAGGTTTAACTGGAATAAAAGAGATATTTAATTAATCAAATTAGACTTTTATTTTATGCATTACGTCTATTAATATGATATAAATGACAAGCTCTTATAAACTGTCCATGCGGTCGGAGCTAAGTTCTGCAAGACCCGCCGCAGAAGGACACAAAAATTCTCCGATCACACACTTAATCTCATGGCTGTTAGACGGGAGATGAAGCAAAATTCTTCAACAGATTTGACAGTATACAGGCAACTGAACAGACAAATCTCCAGATGCATGCGGCGGGACTTGCGCAACTTCAATACAGCTTGTATTGAAGAAGCGATCGAGCGGAACCAAGGCTCCAATGTCTTTTTCAGAGATCTGTCTGCCAGAAAGAGCCAACTGTCAAAGCTGAAGACCGAGTGTGGCAGCATAGTTTCCGGGACACCTGATATTTTGAGTGAGATTGAGAGGTTCTATGGGCAGCTGTACATGTCATCGTTGGAGCCACACGAAAGTGTGAGTAACGATCCGAGAGCGAGTCTTATCCGACACTATTCCGAAGACTTCACGGACGTCAGTCTGAGCGAGATTAGAATGGCTCTCCAGCATCTTAAAATTTGGGCGGTGCTGCAGTCCCTTCAGCGGTGCCAAGTTGACTGTCGTTATATCGAAGTGCTGAAGTATTTGTACAGTAGAGCTACGATAGCTATCCGAGTACAGAATCAGAGTACGAAACCTATCCAACTACAGAGAGGTGTAAGACAGGGTGACATCATATCCCCGAAACTCTTCACCGCTGCTTTGGAAGACGTTTTCAAGCTACTGGACTGGAAAGGAAACGGTATTAACATCAATGGCGAGTACATCACTCACCTTCGATTTGCCGACGATATAGTACTTATGGCAGAATCGCTGGAGGAACTAAGCACTATGCTCAATGACCTCAATAGTGTCTCCCAACGGATAGGTCTTAAGATGAACATGGACAAAACAAAAATTATGTTTAACGTCCATGTCACACCTATGCCGGTAGTTGTTGGGAGCACTAAGCTCGAATTTGTTAACGAGTATGTTTACCTGGAACAAATAGTCTGACTAGGTAAGTCCAACTTCGACCAAGAGGTCAATCGACGGATTCAACTCGGCTGGGTAGCGTTCGGGAAACTACGACACATCTTCTCATTAGACATACCTCAAAACCTGAAAACGAAATTGTACAACCAGGGCGTGTTGCCAGTGATGACTTACGGATTTGAGACGTGGTCCTTCACTGCTGGCCGTATGAGAAAGCTCAAGGTCGCTCAGCGAGCTATGGAGAGGGCTATGCTCGGGGTTTCTCTGCGTGATAAACTTAGAAATGAGTATATCCGCAGTAGAACCAGAGTAACCGACATAGCCCAACGGATTAGTAAGCTGAAGTGGGCTGGACATATAGCTCGAAGAACCGACAACCGATGGGGAAGAAAGGTTCTCGAGTGGCAGCCTCGTACGGGTAAGCGAAGTGTAGGGCGACCCCCCACTAGATGGAGTGACGACCTGGAGAGACATGCAGGAAGTCGATGGATGCAGGTGGCTCAGGACCGCGCTTTGTGGTACTCCTTGGGGGAGGCCTATGTTCAGCAGAGGACTTGTGAAGGGCTGTAATGATGAGGATGATTAAAAAAATACAAATTACGTAACAATTTTTCCTTTGATGTAATAGGAAAACGCAAATACTTAGTATTCTAGTGGATGGCACGCAAGAACTTACGTGGTAAAGTAAAAAGCATTTTAGTCTTTGTTAGGCTTAAAATATTTAAACAACTTGACACGTTAAAATCTAGCAAAAATAACAAACAATAACAAAAAATAATCTAATGTCAGTAATCTAAGTACTTAAATACTTAGTAAAATCGTGTAAATCTTTGTTAACTTTGGTCCGAGTTATAATTATCACCTAAAATACTAACCAAAAATAATCTCCAAATATCTTATTATAGTAAATAGTAAGAACTTACTGTAAATTAAATTGACCTGTGTTAAAAATGAAGGATATTTGGCAACGACGTGTTATTGTGGGTTTCGGCAAAACTGACACAATATCTGCACTATGTTTCAACTCACATATGTCGTCCATATTAGGATAGACAAAAAGCAAAACTCTTTGTTTTGTTTGAGTATTTCGTACGTAAGTTATCATTCGAATGTCAATGTTTTACACTTTTGTTTGACGAAAACTTGACTAGAACCCAATCACCTTTCTTTAATTTGTTTGATGTATTTTCATAATACTCTATATCGGTGAGTCCAAAATCCGTATATACGTTTTCTTCATCATCTGATTTATATTCTGTTAGGTAAATATTCCGGTAATTTTCTAGGTCCATATCTGAACCATCTGAATCATGAATCGTAAAGTCTTCTTCTAAATCTTCTCTTAATCTTAATTTTCTTTTGCTTTTTTTTAGTTTTTATTTTGAGGGGATTGTTTTGTTTTTTATATTTTTTATATATGTGACGGCACCTGCACCGTTGTAGATGCGGTGGCATCGGTCTAGCTAGACAGAATTCTTGTAAACGACACGTGTACCGCACACCTGCGGCATTGCACCTGCGTCGCCGCCCGTCCTGCTTGTATAAAACGGACTGAGCGGCCGCTGTTAAGAGAGTCTTGGCTCTGACGTGGAACGCTGCGCTTGTCGTATTCCGTTACTAGTTTATCCTCGACTCGTTGAATAATTCATTCGTGTAAACGAATGAATTATTATTCCTAACTACAAAATCAGTCTCTGTACTATACCCACTATACTTCCTACATCAGAAGTGGGATAAAGTCCCCATTTTTGCCCACATACAATCTTCGAATAGTATGAGGATTATTACATTTGTGAAAGACTATAATCGAGCATTGATGATTCTGTTTTTATGTTAAATACCGTAATGAAATTTGCTGTCCTACTTACGATATTGTCGTATCATTAAAGTGTAGAGAAAAGATAAAGTGAAATTATTTAAGCAAAATTTTATTAATTTGTTCGATTTGTATTAAAGTACCCGCAAGTATTTTCATTATTTCTTGACGTACCTAAATATGTTAACATATGTCAAAAGAAATGTTGGAGGCTTTCTAATTAACTTGTTCAAGTTTTGTTGTAATTTGATAGTTCACGCGAAACATGATTATCATTTGCTATATTTTGAAGTTCAAAACGTTTAATGGTTGTACTAAAATAAAGGATTAATTTTAACATGCTATGGATTGAAAATAATAAGTGACATTTTTGTGTTCTAATATGTTGATCAGTGTTGCAGTTTGCTCCGAATATTGTGTCGTTGACAAGATTGGGGTTTGATGTCGCGGGAATCGTAGAAGTCTCTACAACAATGATCATTGAGGAAGACGTTGTGATGGCTAATCGAACATGGTCAGGTACGGCCGAGCGCTGGTTAGATTGAGCCTACACCGCTACAGTCGGTTACTTATCGGCTGATCTTACGGCACGGCAATTCAAGCGGCCGCCGAACAAATAGTGCTTTGGCGCTGTAAATGGACGGCTTTCGTAGATTTTGCGCAGTCGCCTCCTTCGCTTCGAAATATGTTGTGGTATCTGTCTCTACACATAGTTTCCATTTTTTGCAATGTTTTCAAATGTCATACAGTTGCCGTTTCTTAAGAGAATATGTGATGAATTTTGGAAGCTCTGAATTCCATGGTTCGCAATACATTTATCTCGATTTCTTTCAATTTTGCAAAGCAGTGCGACGATTCGCTAGCGCTAGTACGGCGCGACGGCTTGCTAGCGCGAATGTGGCACGAACGCAGGAGAACGAAAAGCTGTAGTGCGTTTGCCTGGAGGTAGCCATATCGGCGCGTTCCAGACTTAAATGAAGTCTGAGATGGTCGACCGTTGTAATATTTAACAAGAGTTAATATCTGTTAGCAGGTGGTGATAACTGATAGACCGTATGCTGTTCACTGTCAACCCGAGGACGTGCGACAGTCAGAGGTAGCCGTGTCTGTGCATCTAGAAAATACTAGAGACGTTGCAACACTCTAGCGAAGTAATTATTCTAGTGCAGGAAAGGAACATGAAGTTGCAGGAGGCTGGTCAGTGCTGCACTAGGATATGTGTCGAGTTGCTGTTGGTTTACATATTTAGGTGTTATAGTGTCACTAAGTCCCTCACGATACACTTTTGTGTGATTGTGACGGGGACATGTTTGCGGTATGGTTGGTCTGTAACTATTCTATACTGAATTGAAAAAAAGAGAGTAAGAAAAAAATGTGGTTCTTACTATCATTGCAGGGCGTTTGCCGGTCCAATGATATAGCTACAGGGAATAGTGATTCCGGACTAGCATAAATAGTACTAAAAAAAAAAGAGATTGAGAAAAAAGAATAGTTCTTACAATCATTGCAGGGCTTTGTGCCGGTCCAGTGATATAGCTATAGGGAATAGTTATTCCGGACTAGCGAAAACAGTACTTGAAAAAAAAAAGAGAAAATAGAAAAAGCTACAGACTAATCATTCCGATCTAGCATAAGGTTGATTAAAGTTTTGTAGGGCTTACTGCCGGAACAAAACTGATTGTCACCCAAGTCTGAAGGGTCAATATAGACCGGACCAGACGCTGTTTTGTCAGGATAATCGAACGATGTTTTACAGATTACAGTTGTTACAGATAACTAAAATTGTGATGGAGCGCGTGCGAGGACGCACGCATATCAGTATGGCCGTGACGGCACCTGTACCGTTGTAGATGCGGTGGCCTCGATCTAGCTAGACAGAATTCTTGTAAACGACACGTGTACTGCACACCTGCGGCATTGCACCTGCGTCGCCGCCCGTCCTGCTTGTATAAAACGGACTGAGCGGCCGCCGTTAAGAGAGTCTTGGCTCTGACGTGGAACGCTGCGCTTGTCGTATTCCGTTACTAGTTTATCCTCGACTAGTTGGATAATTAATTCGTGTAAACGAATGAATTATTATTCCTAACTACAAAATCAGTCTCTGTACTATACCCACTATATAAGTCTGCTGGTCGTTTCATTTTATATCCTGTAAAAATATCTTTGGTCAGTTTTTCATCAACTTTTAAATATCTGTCTTCTAAAATAGCAATTTTCGGTTTTGAAATCAGTGGCAGTGGTGATTTTGAGGAGCTTGCAAGGCAATTAAGTATTGAAGAATCGTCTTGAAAAAGATGAATTGGGTCACGGACGTTCAAGTCTGAAATAGGTGATATTATTTCAGAAAGAGTTGCTTCCGAGCTTGGTGGGTAACATACTATTGTTTGATTTTGTCAGTCTTATATTTTTACTCTTTTCGTCAATTTTCTTTACTTTTACTTTATCAATTTTCTAATTTTGTTTACTTATTACTACTTTCTTTTTTGCTCTCGTTGCTTTCGTTTTTCTTCTTTTTCTTGTTCTTTTTTGGCTTTATCGTCTTGCTTCTGTTTCAATCTTTCGATGACGTCCTGATGCGTTATCACCTCTGCACTTGCGGAAATTTTAACTATCTTTTTCTTGAAATTGCCAGTTTGCGATTGTTTGGTAGATTATATTAATAAATCTTCAACATATATTTTCTCCGAAGATTTCAAACTAACGATATTTGACAAAATGGTGATTGGAATCGAGTTTAATTTAATACAAGAGTTAATTTTATTCGAGCATAATTTGGTTAAGGTTAATGGTGAGTTACGAGCGAGTGTTTGTTCTTTCGATAAAGTTTCATGGTGTTTTTTCCATCGTTTTAGGGCTTCTGGGTCTAGTTTATATTCCGGTACAGCTTTTCTGTTAAATGGATAAATTCCACTTTTTTCGAACTCTTTTTTTATAACATTGGAATTAATATTTTTCCAAACTCTTCCCACTATCGCTGAAAACTAATCCTTAGGTAACTTTTCGCCCTTATGTGTGCGTTGCCATTTAGCCATTTCCTGATCCCAAGCGTCTTTATAAGGTTTGAATACGCTTAGATCAAGCGGTTGAAGGAGGTGACTTGTGTGTGGTGGCAATTTAATGTTGGTGATATTATTTTGTTTCACCATTTCAACCACAGCCAGTTGCATGTGCGTGCTATGACCATCATTAATTAGGAGGGCTGACTCTTTCTCATCCTTGACCATGGGAATGAAACTTTTTGCCATGAACTCAGCAGTGCCAGGATATGCTTCCTCAGATGTCCATCCACTCCACACATGCTTACCTTTGAAAATTATAAATGGAGGCCCTTTGCCTCCAGCTGCATTGCTGGAAACCAAGACGGTTGTGCTTTACCAGCTGATGATGTTATTCTAGTTGAAGGATATCCCTTTAAGCCGACCACTTTGGTTTTTTGAGGGTCGTTGCCGTAGCTTGTTTCGTCAATATTATATATTCTCTCTGGCTTATTTTCAAGCCCTAGCTCTTTAATAACTTTTTCGACAATGTTGTAAAATTCTTGTATGATGAAAGGGTCAGTCGCTTTTTTACGGCTATCTCAAATGCTTGAGGTTTTTTTATTGACAATCTATGTCGATTCATAAAATTAGAAAACCAATCGTTTCCAGGGATTTCATTGGTAAATGGTGTATTTATGTTATTTTTTTAACGTACTCGCCAACCAGTTCTAAAACCTCGTTACGACTTAACCCAAAGCCATACCTTTCCATAATATGTAAATAGTTGGCTAACTCTATTTCAATTTCAGTTGACAAGGCTGGTGCATAGACTAATTGGGCTAGTGGTCTACTCGTACCTTGTGTTGATGACTTTTAGCCCCTTCGACCCGTCACGTGATTCATGATTGTTTTACGAGGTATGCCGTAAGTTTTCACTGCTTCATATCCGGATAGGCCTGATCGGACAGCGTCAACTGCAACTGCTACTACAACTACACGGTTACAATTATGATGATGTCTAAATAGCATTCCGTTATCAAATTTCATCTCGTTTATTTAAAAGTGCATACATTTTGTCAAATTCATATGGGACCACCAAGGAGTTCAAACTAGATGTAGTAAGTTCACAATTCGTCAGTACAATCAATCATTCGAATTACTTGGTACCTGCTGCGGGATTATATATTATACAAAGACTACAGAAGACTTCTTAGCAATTTTTATTTTTAAAAGGTACTTGAGACAGTGAGGAAGAAGGATGTGGGCGGCATTTTCAGCTTTCTTTTCTACTACCACTACGCCACTGTCCCAATCGCATGTTTTTGACTTCACACATTCACGAATTTTTTTTCTTTGACACTAACTAATGAGATACAGCGTTACCACTATTAAAAAAATTACAACGCATTTTGATACTTAATCGAGGATAGATGTAGATGTCTATAGTGTGATGGCATTCACCTACCATCAGGTGTACTGTATGCCCGTTTGTCACCCTTGTTTATTTAAAAATACGGTAACCAAATAAAAACATTCTACATCGACATTTAATAGTCCTCAGTTGGGAATGTATTTCATCCATTGTAGGAAATATTTGTCGTAAACATCACGAAATGAGGCCATTTTGGTTGCAGTATCAGATGTCGGGCAACTTTAACGTTATTCCAGTCACCGGTGTGGGTAATTAAGATCTGGTAGTTGGTGGTATAGCATCTTATATGCCGGAGGACGCGAAGTCGAAAAGGCCAGAAATTCTTTGATAATCTCTTTTATGGCACCCACAAGGCGAAATTAAGTAACGGATGTTTCACACGGTTCTTCACTTCATTACAATACAATATCTTTATTTTAGGCATCAACAACAAATATTACATATTTAAAAGTAACCAATAATATTCAGAGAATTTTTCTTTGCGCGTTTCTGTATCGGTAATGCACAAGAAAGTCAGAAATCAGGAACGAGGAATGTTTGTTTATGATTTGCAGAAACCGTTGAAATAACATAGTAAGAGAATAAATTTTGCTATTTAATATTTAAGATTGTTGTATATATGTAAAAAAAAATCCAAAGATAAATTTCATCCGCTATAAACAGATTTATGATAAAAACAATCTTAAACCCTTTACATTAAATATGCCATATAAAATTTGATAAAGTTAAATTATTACTATATAAAGTATGATAAAGAGCTTAACATCGGTTTTATGCCGATATTGCTCACATTACACAATATTAACAAATACTTTTGATACATACTTAAAGTATTTTTATTACTTGTGTGACTGTGCGATAGATAAATTATATATCGTGGCAATTTTTTTTATAGGATAGGGTGACAAACGAGCACACAGTCCACCTGATGGTAACTGGTAGCTGTGGCCCATAGACATCTACATCTATCCTCGTTTGCGAATCATAATGCAGATGCGTTGTCACCCGTGAGGACTAAGATGGAATGTCTCTTTTCCAATAAAAAGGGTCAATTAGTCAATTATTTAAAAAAATTATGGTAAATGCCTTCAACAATGAGGAAGGCCACGTTCAGCTGTGCAATAAAGCCGATAAAGAAAGATCGAATACATACCTTTTCTAATAAAACTCTCCTTTTCATTTAAAAATCCAGCATCTTTCAAATTATCGTAATTGACGGATTTGTTTTTCTTGAAGTTATCAATGTTAAGGTGCTCGCATAATTTTGCTATCTGTTCCTCAGTTATCTCTTTGTCAAGAAATTTGGCAATGCGACGTACGCATGCTTGCAAATCCTGAAATTAATTGTTTTATATACTAAACTTTGTTATAGCTCAGCAATATTAGAACGGACTTAATTAAAAAGGAAATCTGCGCACACAAAACAATCTTCTATCACTACGAAACTCACGAAAAAACAATAATTTTTTTTTTTTTATCTATCTTTATTTAAAAAGGCTTTTATCCTACAAGGATATGTCAGCCTTATCGTAACCTAGCTTGTTCCCGTTTCACCAATGCTATTTGGAAAGGGGCAATCAATGTGGTAAAAATATGGTACTGACTGATTTTGCTACCGCTGAGTGTGGCTCCGCAAGTATACTCAAAAACCAACCCGTTTCACACAAATTGATACTAAATTTTTGTACCAGATTCTCCCTTTCCCTTTGATATTTGACACATTCTGCTAGCATATGTTGGACATCTTCTATAATATGACAAATATCGCAATTGGGCGAGTCTGCTTTTTTCATTAAAAATACAAATTTTTTATTGGGGTAGTGCCCAGAACGTAATCTATGAATAACAATTATATGGTTTCTATTCATTTTAATATTATTATACCACGGTATTCGAAGAGGCTGACTTTGTATTGTTTTATACCATATTCCCTTTTCCCTGCTTCTTTCATCGAAATACTCTCTAAATTTATCATAACACAGGTTTTTGAATTTTGTCAAGATTTCCGTGTAAATTGGTAAAATATTTAATTCGATTCCATGCGTTATAGCTGCTTTTGCTAATAGGTCAGCCTCTTCGTTTCCCTTTAAACCTATATGTGATGGAACCCATTGCAATTTTATGTTTATATAGCGACTTCTGTAATTATATAGTTGGTTTAATATCCCATAAGCTATCGGTGCACCTCTGCTATGACCAGAGGCGCATCGAGCTAAATGTTGTAAAGCGCTTTTGCTATCTGAAAAAATAACAAAATATTGTCCACTTAAATTGCTAATATATTTCAAAGCTTCAGATATTGCAACGAGTTCCATCGTCATTATTGATAGTCTTAGTTCTGTTCTAAACATAGCTGTAATTTTTTCTTTAGGATGACAATATGCAGCACCTAAACCTACACGATTCTTAGATCCGTCAGTAAATATTTGGTGCCAGTTAGCATATTTTTCATCTATTTCCTTTAATACATAGGTTCTAAGATACATAGCTTCATGACTGTTTTTATTCTTTTGAACACAATCTAAATTCACTTGAATAGTTTCATTTATATCTATATAGGAAACCCAAATATTAAGTTTAAACATTTGTAAAGGATAAGAATTGTGAATATTACATAGTTTACAGTCATCGTATGCAAGTAAAAGTAATGGTTTTTTTTTATTGTGCCAGTATCTATTATTAATAACAGAACTAAGATCATTCAGTATTTTAATTGTAGCATTATCTGTCCAAGACATGTTTTTGATACAGTATTTATATGCTAAATATTGTCTTCTTACGAACAATGGTTGAATGCCTAGCTCACTCTCCATAACATGGATAGGTGTACTTTTGATAAAACCCCCCATAATTCGAAGTGCTTTATTTTGGATCTTATCTAGTTTAGACAGATGTGTTTTAGCGCTATTATCGTATAAAAAGCATCCAAAATCCAGCCGACTTCTTAATAGAGAGATATATATAGTGCGCATATGCTTAGGATGTACACCCCAAGCAGGCCCGGACAATACCTTTAGTATATTTAAGAATTTAGAAGTTTTTTCTACGATCTCATTAACATGTTTAGTCCATCTCAACGATTTGTCCAGCCATAGCCCTAAGTATTTAACATTTTCATGTACCGGGATAATATTGTTATTAATGCTTAAAGTAATTTCTCTTCTTTTATAACCTCTGATAAAAACACATAATTTTGATTTAGATGCCGATAATTGGAGTCCTATTTCATCTAGCAAAATTATCATTGCATTTACTGCAGTTTTTAAATTATTTTCACAATTCTGTAAGTTCTTGTCACTCACATAGAAAACAAAATCATCGGCATATTGAGACACAAAGACATTTTGAATCTGGCGACAAATCCTGAAGGTTACAATATTAAAAAGTAAAGGAGATATTGGATCTCCTTGGGCAAGGCCCCTGTTGGTACACCTAATATCGTGAGCATAACCCTTTTTCTCATTTTTAATCATTAAATATCTCTCACTTAAGAACGACCAAAGATAGTTACATATACCTTTGCCAATTCCTATTTCATCTAATGTCTTAACAACTTTATCCACTAAAATATTATTATATGCATTTTCAATGTCAAGAAAACAAGCTGCGGTTGGGATGTTACTAGTAAAGCCTAACTGTGTATAAGTTACTAGCCTTGATAAGCAGTCTAGACAAGATTGAGCTTTTCTAAAGCCGTTTGTGCGTGATGACAAAATATTGTGATTTTCTACATACCATTCTATTCTCTTACCTAGCATGTTGTGAAATATTTTGCAGAGACAGGAAATGAGAGAAATAGGTCTAAGTTTAGTTTCACTATTTAGTTCAGCACCTGCCTTAGGAATTGGGACTACTAAAATTGTACGCCACTGCTTCGGTACCATGTTGAATCTAAATATGTCATTATATAAGTATAAAAGATATTTCTTCCCAGCTGGCGGTAAATTAAAAACCATGGAGTAAGTGACTCCATCATTTCCCGGTGCACTGTTCTTCTTTTTTAAGCTATGATCCAATTCTTGCTTTGTGAACGGTACTTGTAGTAGCTTATTACACGATACAAACTGAGGTGGACAACCCATTGCAGAGTCGGGCGTAAGGGAGCGAAGTAGGTCCTTTTTCTTATCCTCGGATGGATGAAATGTTACTTGTTGGTACCCTTTAAACCAACGCATTTTTTTCCACATATCTGATACCGTTGTAGACGCATCAATCTCATTACAAAATTTCTTCCAAGCATCGGATTTAGCCTTTTGTATTTCGAAAAAACAATAATTAAAACAATAAACTAACAATTACACATACACATAGATACATTATAACAGTATCGCTCGGTGACAACAACAACTAGAGATAGACTCCGATCAGTTGTTCGACCAATCTGCATATTGTATGAGGGCGAGCGATCTGTGTTGGTAAACAGATCCGAAGCAACACTTTTTACAACACAATTTTTTTTAAAAATATTATTTATTATATTGTTTATAAATGTAATGTTTTATTTATAAATAAGTAAATAGCAATAATGTGATTAAAAATTACTTTTATATGAAAGGTAACGCTATCTTTTTCAAAATTTGACGTGGCAGATCTCATTTTGTAGCAAAATACTGAACAATTCGGCATTTTTGTAGGACGTGGATTCAGCCTCGCAACTTGGTTAAGTCAAGTGAGCACTACGGCTGCAACTAGTTTTAATGTACGTATATGACCGCATGTCATTATACTGTCACAGATAGGAACGCCTGTGTATAGCTACTTTCTTCCGATCCGCTGTTGGTCTTAAGATGAACATGAACAAAACAAAACAAATGTCATATGTAATGTCCATGGCACACCTATGCACTTAGTTGTTGGAAGCACTTTGCTCGAAGTTTTTGACGAGAATGTTTACCTGGGGAAAATTGTGCGACTAGGTTTTTTTAAGTAAGTCCAACTTCGACCGAGATGTCAATCGATGGATTCGACTCGGCTGGGCTGCGTTCGGAAGATGACGACACATCTTCTCGTCAAGAGCCACTCCAGGCGGTGACAGGCGCTCCAGTTGCATTAAACAGGCAGTCCTTTGTAGACTGTTTACTCTGTTTGCAGTCGTCTTTTCGTTGGGCTTATCACATCAGACAGTGGAGGCGTCGGTAAGAATCAGACTCACTATGCTGCTGTGCAACCATAGGACCATATTGGGACGCAAGCCCCAGTTGTTCCCAACCATACGTACCTAAATCAATTTTAGCCTTATGACATACGTTGTTAAGTACTTTACTTCAGTGGAGAATGGTAGTTCTGGCTGGTTGTCTTAGCGATAGCCTGTGTTAGTACCTGGTTGAACAGCCGCATCTGCTCCATGCTTATAGAATTGTGAATTCCTATTCGCGCGGAGTCAGCTACGGTACTGAAGCTGAGCTTCTTCTCCCCCGTTACCAGCTTTACAGATTTCCTGAACTGGAGAAGGTTTGGGCAGAGGAATTTCATCCCAGGACTTCTGGCAGAGAGAGAGGGCCTCTTCGGCTCCTATCTCAGCTGCTATCAGCCTCCTGTACCTCTTCCGTGCTGCCCCACTGAAGCTTAGCAAACTTTTTCATTTCCCCTCCCTGGAAGGCTAGCATGGGCAGGAGACAATTTTTTCCCCGGGGAAAGTAGAAAATGTTTATCCCATCGCTTAGTTTTATCCGCCCTTAGAGCATGGGCACACCGGTGGATATAATATCAACAGTAGATAAAATGGGAGATAGACTTAGACTTAGATAGATTTTTTGTATGAATATAAACTTAAGCCCACGTCCAATGAACTAGGATAAAATTGTCCCTTTCAAATGTCAAAAAAGGATATTTTTTTATCTTTCATTTGGCTCCATGCTACGGACGGGGGATATATGTCTACTGGTTATGTCGAACGGGGATATACTTCTCCCCGTTGCTGTGCTTTGGCATAAGGACAAGATAATTTTATCTTTTGTCAGTTGATATAATCGGGGGATAATTTTTTTGTCTCCAGCCCATGCTAGCTGTGCAGGTTCGTTTCCAATTGTGGTTTGACTGCAGACGTGCTCTCCAATTCACGCTTGTCCCAGGTTGGGGCGTTGTGTTGCAGGGTTAAAAGAGCCTCTTATGAACCTACAGATAGTTCCATTAAAGGAGAGTTGATTTTGTTAAAATGTCGATCTTCATCCATTTCGGTGCCACGATTAGCTAGGGAAATATTCGTTTACTCCGGCAGAGCTCGGTATGCCGAGGGTAGGGCTAAAATACTACCAGGAAAGGCACTGGCCTAGGGTAGGCAGTGTTTACTACTACTCCAACCTTCCCCCTCCCGCCACGCATCCATCGGCACGGT